CCAGGGATTCCAAATCCTTGCTGAGGATTCCAAATCCACACCTCACTCTGAACATCCTCCTCCTTCCAACTGTGCAGAATGAGGTGCCAGTTCAGAGTGAATAGAGAAAGCTCTCTTCCAGTGCCGACCCCCAGCTTGGTCTGAACTCCTCCTTTGACACGCCTTCCTCTTGGTCCCCCCTCCAGAGCTGAGCTCCACCTACTCTGGGGGGGCAGTCAGTTCCTTTTGTAGCCCCACCTCCCAGACCATTCTTCTGAGTGTTGGCCTGGAGGTGTTGTTTGAGGGGTATTGGAAGTAGTGATAGATCCTGGGAACAAGCTATGCATAGAGGCCTGGTGCAGAGTGTGGTCATTTGCTAGGTTTATGCATAGGGTCTGTGCAATAGCCCAAACACTAACATGTTTCCAGCCCTCACTACCTCTAGCAGTCTGGCATAGTCCCTGACTGCCTGGGAACAACTGAGGTGCCTGGTCAGGACTTGGGCCCTGCACCCCAAGCCTGGGGGGCCACTGCCCCCAGAACTTACAGACATGCTCCTCAGGTGGCTTCAGCACCTCTCTCTTCCAACTGCCGTGCATTGCAAGAGATTCAGGCTGGCATTTTGCCCCCCACTTTGGGCCTGAGGCTCTGCCTCCCACTTCCTGTGCCCTGGGCTGCCAGCTCAGGAGCTCGCTGCAGCTCAGTTTGCTGTCTTTCCTTTTGCATGGCCGTTGTCTGACCTCCAGCATGTGTCTCTTGGGTCCACTTCCTCTTGGAGGCTTGAGACGCCTTCTCTTTTGTCATTACCTCTTCCTGGGGCTCTGTTTCAGAGTCTTTAGGAGAAGCCCATAGCTCCCTCTTTGCATTTCTTGATATTGTGCTGTCCCCCAGCTTTCTTTTTCTCTTTCCTTTGGGAACTCTCCACTCTGGCATGTTGGAGACACCTGCTATGGCCTTCCTTTCACCTGTAAAGTTTCATCTTCAAAAGGGGCCCAGGTACAGTGAAAAGAAAAGGACAAATAAGAAATATGTTACTGGCCCTTTTATTACCAGCAAGTGCTATAGTGTCTTGGGGTTGGCGGGGGGGGGGGGGGGGGGGGGGGGGGGG